TACTGACAGAAACCAAAGAAGCTGCATCCTGGAAAGGTACAAAATTTATGATATTTCAATAATTAACTTATTTAAGAAATGGAAAACATGTACCGTGTTTCTATTGAGTTATAGAAACACAAGTGGAAGTTTGGGAGAACGAGAAATGCTGATGAAATGATCAATTCTTAGCATGTAATTGTTCAGCGTGTGGTTTTAAACAATTTTTTTTTTTCAGTTAAAAACTTAACAGGGACTTTCCAAGAGATGACTGCACAAGGAATATCTCAGAAGAAAAGTTAACTATGTGCCAGGTGTTCATTCGGGCAGAAATTTAATCTTTGTACAAACCCCTCCATCTCCCTCAGAGTAATAACCTGGCTTAAGCCCACAATCCGATCAAAAACCAGTATCTGGACAGCGGTCAACCTCAAAAAAGCACGCGACCTCTATGAGCTCCAAACCTGAGTCCAGGATATGGTCACATGATACTGGTCAGCAGATACCTTGTTTTGACAGCTGTCAATTATTGATCATAACATTGATGTCCAATATCAAAGAAGTATATATGGTAATGGTTTTCCAAGGTATCGGGCCCAGCTAGGGCACGTGCAGTGCAACTGGTGTATGGACGTATGTAAGGACATCCAAAATTTTTTAGATCAATGGGTTACAAAATTTTCTAAGGTATCAGGGCTCCACAGCACATCTTCGGCCTAAACAATCAGATTAATCGCTCTTGATGTCTATGGATGATACCTGACTTGGGCTCAGTGCCCTCGTCTACACTATAATGTGGTAGAAATTGATAAGTGCATTATTACCCATTGAATCAGCTACTGCTTAAAACACAAGGAAGCTAGGAATATAGCATATATTCTAGTTATGCAACACTTACGATTGGTAGACTATGGGGAGTGCGCACAAGAGGTAGGGATTTGATACCTTGGACAACCCCACAGTAGGCCTTTTGATCATGCAAAGTGGCCCCTGGGTTGAAAAACTTGACTTTCACTAAAAGATGCCCGGTGACATAAAACAGATATGGTTACCAAGTCTGTCTCTCACGGCTCAAGCTTTGGGGAAAGGTAAGTTTTTATTTGTTTTCATGCCATTTATCTGATACTTTAGGCTGGTGCCATCAAATCAGATATTGTCTGTTTTGAGAAAGTTTCGAACTTCAAGTGCACATTTGATTGCAAAAATGACTGAAATCAAATTCCACCCTAAAAGTCAGTCTCCCCTCCCCCCTCCCCCCTGCCTTGTACTA